AACACACACACACACACACACACACACACATTTACATATATATATATATATATATAATGCAGCACGTAGAAAATTATCATACAGTAGTTTTGCACACTTCTTTGTGTTCAGAAAGGGAATGAAATTGGCTGTGTTGTGAGGGGTTTCTTAATCGTTGTGTATAAAGTATTTAACAACAAGTTTGTAAGTATTTTCACATCCTTGTACATAAGACATAATAAACAACTAGATTATCGCGTATCTCGACGAATCTTGAGGAAATATAACACTGAACGAGAGAATGCTCTAATAACGAGTGGGCCAGTTTACAAGAAAATATAATTTCAAAGTACAAAGTATTCGCATTTATCGGCAAATCTTTTAAAGTTGAGGAAGCTAACGCTACACCGCCTGTTTCTACGTCCGAATTATGTAGAAACCGATAAAATGAGTGAGACCAAGGTGCGGGAGCTCGAGGATATGTCCGGATCATCGGCAGACGAGGTTTGTAAAAATGGATGTCTGCGGCGCTGATTTTCACTGAGTTCCCCGCAGATGCTTGACGTTGCGATGCGAGTGTAGCAAGGCATTGGTTACTTATCGTGCGGTACCTCCGTCAAAACCAAATAGCGGGGATAAGTGGCAGTACCAGACAGTCCTTAGGTTCGAAACGAGCGAAGGTGTGGTTATGTTATATGTTGCCGTTTGGAGCCCCATATATGGCGTGTCATCGTACCAATCTAAAGGATCCACCTGAATTCTATTACCTGCACAGTTTTGCTTCCGGAGAATCCCTCGAAGTCGAGAAGTGGGGCAGTCCTATGTGTCGAGTGTCGTCACTACTCTGCGATCGCAGCTGTCCTGTCTACCGCTGGTGCTTGATATTGAACCTGGACTGGTATGCAAATGTCGTTCGGAATGAGGCCTAGGAACGTGGTGTGCTGCTCAGAAGGGGTGCAATACACGGTGACACGATCATATTTATTGACTAATGTGGTATGCACACAATACACTCGTGAAATACCTATCGTGATCTGTAGAGACTTATGATTCTGGATGAGGATTGTGACGAGCTAGGTCAAGTACTTAGTGCAATACGGTTTAAGCTGACTTGAAAGTGACTCACGTGCGCTAGCGTATGAGCATGAGTTATATGGCCGTTTCATCCTCAAAATCCAACTTTCTAACTCAAAATATCGTGCCCTTCATATGCAGGTACTCGGAAATGGACCGGGAACCTGCGTTCCAATATTCTTTGTGTGCTTCGCCTTGCGGGTATGCATCTACGTTTGTTAACCTTTTCTGCTCTGATTAGCCACCTTCGGCACCTTATCCTTATGAAATGAAGTGCATCATTGTCATTTGTTCACATTTAACTCTAAATATCCCATATTGTGCCGGTCCGCTTAATTTCGAGCGCTGTAGTATCTTTCGTACGGAACATGGATGTAGCATGCGTTCACATCCTTAGCAGCTCATTAAATGGCGATGACTGTCTTTCTTAAACTTGTACATTGTCGCTAGCTAACCCTGTTTGCTTTAATTTGTGTTCAACGTCTGCACTACAGTTTCTGGGCCTGCGCAATAACACGAAGTTGATGTATGTCGAGAGCGTTGCGCGCGTGAAGAATCTTTCGCTTACAGGCAAGATCATCTACAAACTAGGACTATGCGACAACTTCCTAGTACAATGGCCAACATTGGCAATGAAGTATCCTAGAGCGACGTACATAGGGCGTTTGATATAACTTTCTATGCTGAATACGTATAGATATACGCATGTAGCACACATGCCTCAGGGTAGTGCCGGTTTTTGATGTATACACATGTGCACATACGAACCTACGGCGTCGGAGACTTTCAAATTCAATCTGCACAACTAACTAGCGAAAGGCACTTTGCCGTAAGCGTGGTACAGACTCCGATATACTTGTCGATGACACACAACACACAACAGCGTCCATTGTCTCGACATAGCCCGCACTCTTACTTTCTTCCTTCACGATGTTGGAAGGCGTAGAATGGTCAGCATGCTTATACCAAGAGGGAGCAGCCTTGGGACGATGTTGACTATGCTGCTGCTGGTGGCGGCAAGTGCTCCTCGAGACTCAGAACCCGGAGTGATGAGATACTCGGGGGAATCAAAGCCAATCGGTGTTTGCCCGGAGAAGGCGTGTCTTAACTTCGCCCACGCCTCTCACTCGAGATTTGTGCGTAGGGCTTTCTCAAGAATCTAGTTATTGTTGTCTCCATATGAAAGCCCACTCGCACGTTACAGAATCTTCATGAGTCGTTCTGAGACCACTCTCTCGCCAAGACGTGGTTCAGCTCTTATCAAGGGGCACAAGCGAATATAAAACCCCACACACCTGACCTGGGTCAATATCCCTGCTACTTCACGAACGACCGAGAAGTCGGCTACCCGGTAATCGCACAGAACTGTTTACAGCTGTGGGCGTATTGTGTAGGCATAGAGCGTACTACAGTTAAAACGTCAGGGTTTTAATGTAGTTTATTTAGTGTGATTGTAAGTAGCTAGGTATGTATGCACTGCATATGCTTCATAATCCACTGAGCCGGATGCCGTGTCGCCCTACTTCAGTAGATGGCGACACCCCACCAAGTCCTGCAATGCGATCATCAATTGCAAATTGCGACCAGGAAGGGCGATACTGCATGCTACAATGTGAACATACAGTGACTGGAGGTTTACTTGTAATGCGAAATCCGGTTAGGAGACTGGCGAGCTCAGCACCCTGTACCTTGACCAATAAACCATTCTAAATGTACAATCATGAACAGTCGCTTCTATTACAAATATATTTAGTTTGGAGTGATGCGAGAGTCGGGTTTGACCTCAACAAGAGCCCGAATGTCAGTTCAAATTACACTTATGCCTTTGGTATGAGAGATGCTGGAGAAAATATAACTTCTATTAAAGCTTATCCTCTAGGTACGTTGACTACAGAATGCGTTGTCGTATCGAGCTACTACATGTACCCCTGTTTTGATTTACACCGCTGTAGGTGTTTGCGCCTGAATAATATATTCTGCCGGCCGCATATCTTGAATTTATCCTTAACTTACACATGTAGTAAAGATTCATAGCACAGTTCATACCAATAATTGGGGTTCTTTTGGATGCATCTCCAACATACTACGATAGGTTTCAGAATTACACCTCCAATCGACACATTGGACAGCAATCTCTAAATTTCAAGCAATAACCGAAACGCTCCAATTAGCTTGGCCGTGTCGCATCATCATAGTGAGAATTGTTGGCGCTCCGCTGTCGCGCAATATATATGAAGCAGAGAAGGTGAGCACAATCATATGGCTGCAGACCTACGAAGTGGGTCCCGCTACCACTGTGTAAGGGGTCAAATGGGAGCCAGTGCCAGGGCATTTCATATGGAGGTCATTTTTATTAGGTGTCAAGTCTTCACGTAGCTTAACGTGTATACAATTCAGACGCACATAGCCGATATTCCTTTGTTGATGGCTGTGCGTTAGGAGAGCGTATGAAGGACTGTCCACGGGAAACCAAACCAAACTGAACTATTTGGCATACAAAAGCAGGTGCGTAGCGCCGGCTCCGAGGCGACAAGCCACCAGAAAGTGCCACTTGCACAATCCAACACAACTCTTTCCCGGGCGGCGGGCGATGGGTTGCTTGTGTCTACACTAGTAGGTACTGTTTGTTTGTTTATTCGCAGTTCACAGAACAAAAGTCATCCACCAGGCTTAGATCAGTGTGTTGCTGTTAGAGTAATGTCTCCCCGCCGGTTGGTTGGCTGAGCCCTGGCGGCCGTACGACGATTGTCCATAGCCCTGTCTTGGCATGACTACAGAGTAAAACAGCAGCGAACGGAATGTCAGTCAGTTTCGCGATAATGATATGTCGTTTGAGATGTGCTCTGAGTTCAAGCGGCATGTTTGCGCCGATAGCTCTGCTTTCCTTCCAAGTCAGACAAAGCTGCATGGAAACGACGCTTCGATCTGCAGAGAGACATGATTCGCAGTTTATAGCGCAACCGCCGTGCTGATGTAGACTCGTGCATCCTTAGGTATACATATCACATGCACACTCATACACACAAGTCGCTCAAAGCATACAGCATGGAAGCACAAATGCAATGAGGTTTGCAGTGATTACATTGTATAACTGTCATTCGAATGCTGTACAATGTCCCATTCGCGTACATGCAAACAAGAATCACTACAGGTCGGCCAAGGACAATCTCGCATAGACACAAAGACATACTTGGCTGCGCTCCCATTGGGGTGTCGGCTGGTTGTAAAGAGCCCAGTGTAAGCACTGGTTCAGCCTTCTTCGTGGCGCCCATACCCAATGAACCGGCATCGAGGTTCACCAGTCCAGCACCAGCGCCTCCCCACGTGTTGGCGGCCTGCAATCGAAGAAGAAAGACAAGTCGCACAGTGAGAATAGCAAGACATGGCCTGTCCGGTGAAGTGTCACACAATAATCCCCATCGATCGCGTGTGGGAATAAGAAGACTGCTTGTACCTCGTTACCTTGATAGTCTATCGAACTAGGAACGAATCGATTTCCCAAAGCGACAAGAATATTGTAACCGCTGCGCGCTTGGTAGCTTAGCAACTGGCAGCTATGCACAATGAACGCGTGCCATGAAATATTAATAGCATGCACTCACCGGTGGCTTCGTGCCAGTCGCTGACGTGGGCTTCATCGGCTGCATGCTATAACCCGCTGGCATTCCCTACAAGATCGAAGCAGTGGTTCAGAATCAATGTTAGAATTGCAATAGCACAGACTGCATCACAAAAGTAGTCGGTATCAAAATCCACCACCGCAATCGAGCGCCATTGTGTTCGCATGTGACATTCGGGCCTCATATTTCGGGGTTATAGTTACACCTCTCGGTCATGTTCTAGCACCGCCTGGGTGTACAGCATAGCATTGCCGCGGGCACCCACTCCCCAGGAACCGGGCTTGCAGTACCAGGATACAGCGATATTTGCGTGCATGTAAGCGAACCATACACGCATTCAGCACATACACACCTGCATGCCCTGGGCCCCAAAGGCCTGGTTCTGCTGTGCCTGGGCCTGGGCCTGGGCCTGCTGCTGTTGCATCATCATCTGCTGTTGCGTCTGTTGCGGCATGCCCATGGCACCCATCCCCATGCTGTTCATGGGCATCCCCATGCCAGTGGGGGCGACACCGCCCATGCCCTGCATCCCAGCCATACCCATGGCCATTGGGTTAGCGGCGGTGGTCTGCGGTATTGTCATGTTTGGCTAGACGAAGGTAGCGAGAGTGAACGAGGATGAGATGTGGTGTGAGCATACCGAGCCACTTGCTGAGCTTTTCCGCAGACGAAACATAGGAAGTGATCCCAGTTGATGCCGGGTTACAATAGAGTGTCAAGCGTATGCTTACAAGCAACCTGAAGGTCGTGGCTGTGTTTTGCAACTGCAGACGATTATGCACACATATAGATATACTCATTCATGCACACACTACTTTCACATACCATCGTCTGTTGTGGGGCTCCCCCGAAACTTCCAAAAGCATCACCAGCGGCGGCTACTGGTGCGGCAACTGGCGCGGGCGCTGCGGGAAATGTAGCGCGAACATATGAATAATCGGTGCAATCACATCGCTGATACGCTGTCAATATTACATAGTCTCTATATTAAGATTTGACCCACGTTTACGATACGTTGTCTTTTCCCTGTTACTGATTCCTATTCCCGATTCTGATAGCAGGCAAAGCAAAGATATAATAATACTGCACGCCACTACAGCGTCTGCGCAGAGAAACACATACCGGCGAATGTTGTGAAATCTCCGAAATCTTCACCGGCCGCTGTGCCACTGTAAGCAGCCTGTGTGTTCACTGGTGCCTGGACCGGCGCAGCAGCAACGGGCTCAGAGCCTGTGAGGCGTCAAATGGTGTATGCTTATTAGGTGTATAATTAATTGTTGTGAATATACAGCCACAACTGGAGCTGAACTTACATCCGAATACACACTTACCCACTCATGCAACACACATGTGCCGGCTATATTGTGGACACGCGGAGACATTGTCTGCGAAGTGTTTGCATATCTGCTCACAGCCATCGATTTTTCTGCACAAACTATCTCACGGAACGCCTTGATTTGCACCACTGAACAAAAGCTTACTGAATCCACTGAAGTCTCCGAAGTCGTCTGCTGGACCTGCCGCTGGCGTGGCTGCGGGTGCCAAACTCATATCTCCAAAATCGTCTCCGAAAGGATCTATTTTATAAATAAATAAAGTTTAAAGAATGAGATGATAGTCAAATTAATATATCACTTTAGATGTGCTCAATAAGGCACTTTCTAATTTCACTTTCGTATCTAAAAATTCTCACACTGCACAAAAGGCCAAGCAAAATGTACCTGGAGTAAACCGCACACGGGGACCATTAAAAAATAAACGGTGCACATATGCAAAACGGTGTACCAACAAACACCTTCGTGAATGGGGCACCTTATAGACATACTACACAAGCACAGCTAAGATTCAACAACAACAACAACAACCCCCCTCTTTCCCTTCCCTTTCCACTTACCGTCAGACACGGACTGGTACTTCGAAGCATTCCTGTCCCGGTCATCACGGTCTCGTCGATCATCGCGATCTCTTCGATCGTCGCGGTCTCTGTTGTCTCTGTCTCTGCCGCGACTGTCCTGCCTGTCTGCGCGGCGGTCGCTGCCTCTGTCGCCATAGCTCTCGGCGGCGCCCAGACTCACCATCTTCGAGGGCTTCGCGGCACTTTTGGTGGGTACTCCGCGTCTGTTTTTGGGTACCAAAGATTTCAGGACAAACTTAATGACGGTTCTTTTAAAGTGGTTCGTAGTAGGCTATCGCCTCTGGCCCGAAAACACCGAGTATAAAAGAATTGTGCGGCCTTACGCAAGAATATAGAGTAGCTGTGTGACGCATGATCCCAAGAAATGAGAATGCACACATATCTCATCTTCTGTACCATACATATATTTAGTCAGTTCCACCTACCGGGCACCCCTGGAGTTATCTGTTTTCCTTGACCTGGGTGGTGATCCAGCGGGCGATCCTCGAGGTGGCCTAGATCAGCACAAATAGACAGAATGCTTATTAAATATACCAGAATGCTTATTAAATATACCAGAATGCTTATTAAATGTACCAGAATGCTTATTAAATATACCAGAATTCTTATTAAATGTACCAGAATGCTTATTAAATATACCGTGTTGATTCAACATAGAAGTCCTTGTAAAAAAAGTGCGAGCTCAGTATATACACATGCACGTACACATACTTTCACGAGCACAAGCATAGGAATGATCATATAATGAAACATATAAGAAGGGTTGTTAATGATTGGCTAGGGCAAACTTGTATCACTACCGCTCAGCGTGACTTGAGATATGCTCCACACATGATTTCTATATAAATATACAATCACACGCACATACATAGAATACATACTGACTTTGTATCGAGTTGCATCACCAGTAAAAAAGTTGCGAGATATACGCCAAGTGTAGCAATTTTTCTTCTTCTCAAAACTATGAGCGTAATATTTTCAACGCGTTTAGTTTGAAGCAGGGCTCCAAACGTCCACCAAAAGGCACGTGGTCATATGCAAGGCAAATTGGTATCAAATATGGCATTTTATGACCACCACGTATTGCAGATTTACAATTTGGTACGCAATGGGGTCACACCATCAACACTTACGACAGAGATCGGTCTCTGTTATTCGATGGCTTTCGGCCGGCGGGTGAAGGACTGCGGCGACGGTCGTCGCGTCTGTGTCAGCGGATATGCGGATGCGTGCGGGGTGATGTGTTTAGATTGAGCGTTGCATCAACTACGAGGGAAAGGATGCCCACGAATGCGTGCCACACGATGTGTAGCGGTTGGGCAGTACAATGACATAGCATTCGTGAGCATTGCTCGAAGGTATTGAGCCAGCTTTCATGAGAGCATTCTCCGAACGGCAGGGAAATTCAGATAGGTATACAGGAAAGGGAAGCCGATCTTTCTTGTTCCCACTTCTGTGCAAAGATAGAGCTGTGCCAAATTTCTGCACTCGCGCCTCCTATTGAACACTGGGTACGTACGCATGAGTTCTTACCCTGAACGAGAAGTACCCTTGGTATCTCGACGACTATGCCTATCGTCATCACGGTCACGCCGATCCCTGCCATCTCTGTGTCTATCCGAGTCTCTACTGCTGCCGTATTTATCTGAGTGAAAACAAATCGCAGTGCACGTGATATGCTTGAGAATGAAACGCCCATATTTTAAAGTACGCCAGAGCTACTGAACCCGAGGCGTGCGGCCGTGGGATATATTGAGCGTTTCAATTGCATCGTACAAGCACAACGGCTGTGTATATCTTGTAAATTACATTGTGCAAACACAACGGTTGTGTGTATCTTGTATATAAGGCATGGCTTGATGCAACCAACCACGCCATTCTCCTACTAACGACATAAACACTCACCGCCGCTATCGCGATCGTCGTAGCGGTCGCCATCTCCACCACGTCTGTCCAAATCGCGGTCACGTGACGAGTATCTGTCGTCGCTGTCTCTGCTACCGCGTACAGGACTCTCGTCGTCGAATACATCCCGGCCACGGGGTTTCGGCCTGGTGTTATGTGTGCAATTCGAAGGATGCACAAACGACAAGGTCAGAAATCGGTCACACAAACGTAAATTAGTCATATAAAAGTACGAATTCTAGTTCTAGTTGCAGGCCATCCGGATATACTTCATGACTCTCAAGTGGCGTATATGTACCTCTTTGACTACATCCAAAACTGCAACTACAGCGATGGCAGATCACGCGGATTCTACACCTTATGAGAACCGAACATCGCAAATAGGCTGAATGTCACTCGCAATACCATTCTTCATATCACTGAGAGCAATATCCAATACAGCACCTAACATGCTCACTTCGATAAAATCACGTTTAGATCACCCCGTCTACCACTGCCTGAGAACCCCCGTGTCACCCACTCATACACATATGACTCATCAAGCACTGCGCACATCCATTCAACTACACTAAGTGATACAAGCAGCCACCTGCTGCCGTAGCTGGATGCTCCACGACCACCACCACGACCGGCATTGTAGTCCACACTGCCGGACCCTCCAAAGGTCGAGTACCCTCAAAAACCCAATCACACAAAATACATTACTGCATATAACTGTAGCTATAAATACAGCAATCATCAATGACACCACACTCACAGACACAGCCACTCACCTGCTCCCGTAGCTGGATCCACCACCACCACCACCCCCACGACCGGCATTGTAGTCAGCACTACCAAACCCTCCAGTGGCCGAGAACCCTCGATCGCCCGCCGAACTAAAACCACCGTAGCGTGACGCACTGCCCGACATCTCTGCTGCGCTCACACCGGTGAATTTGCCTGCGAGACGATGGTGAAATAGGTACATCATTAGCAACAGCTGCAATTTTGTACAGTGTATATATACATATATAGGTGTGGTTCAACCACAGGCGCACATAATTCCAATTGAACGCCCATAGCGATGAGACATTCCAGATTCGATAACATTCCCGGTCGCAGACCAAAGTTTGTAAGCCATATACAGGACACTTATACTGAATTTAGACTGGGCGAGAGAGCCATTGGAAGATATAAGTACAATACTCTCCAAGGATTGTTCCGGATGATTTGACAAAGAGCACGAAACCATGAGAACAACTTGGTAGTCAGAATAGAAGTGCACGTGCACTGGAATTTGGTACCTAGCACAAACAATATGCGCGGAAATAGACAGCCTTCTAAGAAAGCTTGTACATTCCACAATAAACATAAAAGTGTGTACCTTTTTCACTCAGACTACATATATGCAATCCAACTTCAAACAAACCGACATATTGCTTTGTACTCATAAAGATAAATCATATGTCCACACTCGGTGTACACACAAACAACTCTAAATACCTCTGTTGGCACGTGCTTTGCCGCGCTCCTCTCTGATGCGCTCATCGTCCTGCAGAAGTGAGCGCAGATCCTTCGCTTTCTGACGCACGTTTATTCCTTAAAGTGTAACGGTAACCGGTGTTGGTGATGGCGGCATCAGTGGAGTAGGAGGTGCAAACCTCATAAAAAAATAACATGCTACATCTATTCTTCTCAGCTCTATCAAGGAGCTACAACATGTCAAAGTGGTTTTGCACGTACAATTGGCGTGGAGTACACTGAATAA